CTTGACCTGCAGGTGGACCCAGAAATTAAAGTGAGGTGCATGAACACTGAGATACAGGTGGGCCCGGAAATAAACGAGAGGTGCATGAACACTGAGAAAAGACTTATGCCAAAGCCTAAGAATACGTACGCGCCGCGCATTGACAACTAACTGTGCGAGCCTGACTCTGACAATGGCCTACGTGAAATGAAATTGATGGATCAGCATGGCATAATCCGAGTCATAACTATCTCCGTATGATTGTGGAGACTTTCACGAGCCGTTGGGGTTAAACAGCCGAATGATACTGTACGATTGTGAAACATCGAACAATATGTCCACGAAACGTGTACTATAAAACATCCTTCGATGAGACTATAAAACATCATACCACAAACTAAAAAAACATCCTACGATGGGACTATAAAACATCATACGATGGGACTATAAAACATCATAGCATGGGTCAATAAAAAATCATAGCATGGGACTATAAAGCTTCATACCATGGGACTATAAAACATCATACCATTGGACTATAAAACATCATACCATGGGTCTATAAAAATCTTACCATGGGAACGATGGAACTATATAGCATCATAACATGGGACTATATAAGATCATACGATGGGACTATAAGACATCCTACGATGGGACTATAAAACATCATACGATGGGACTATAAAACATCATACCATGGGACTATAAAACACCATACCATGGGTCTTTAAAACATCATACCACGGGTCAATAAAACATCAGAACATGTACTATGAAACATCATACCATGGGTCTATAAAACATCATACGGAGTGTTTGGGAAATATAAAACAGTGTCACTCAAAAGTATTTTAAGCGTCACTCAGATGCATACTACTGTCGAACTACCCCGTACAACAGCCGCGTAACATGGGCACACACCCAATTAATAACTGAGACCTGGGGGGGGGTGTTAACTGAGGCGTGTGAAACACCATGACACACAACACACAACACACACAACACAACTAATAACTGAGACCTGGGGGGTGTGTTAACTGAGGCGTATGAAAAATCATGACCCACAACACACACAACACACACAACACACACAACACAAATAATAACTGAGACCTGAAGGGTGAATTAACTGAGGCGTGTGATGTACTATGGCACACAACACACCCAACACAGCTAATAACTGAGACCTGAAGGATGGGTTAACTGAGGCGTGTGAAATACTATGGCACACAACACACACAACACAACACAACTAATAACTGAGTCCTGAAGGGTGGGTTAACTGAGGCGTGTGAAACACTATGGTACACGACACACACAACACATACAACACACACAACACAACTAAGAACTGAGTCCTGAAGGGTGGGTTAACTGAGGCGTGTAAAACACTATGGCACACAAAACACATACATCACACGCAACACAACTAAGAACTGAGACCTGAAGGGTGCTCTAACTGAGGCGTGTGAAACACTATGGCACACAACACACAACACACACAACACAACTAATAACTGAGACCTGAAGGCTGATTTAACTGACGCGCATAAAACACTATGGCACTTAAAACACTATGGCACTTAAAACACACAACACATTCAACATACACAACACAACTAATAACTGAGACTTGAAGGCTGATTGAACTGAGGCGTATACAATACTATGGCACACCACTCACGTACCTGTAGTGTACTCTTCTAATGCGTCGATGGGGTATCGGTACAGTTGTTTCAGAAGAGACCCACGATCCGTCATCAGCAACTTGTCCGGGAAATGACAATAGAAGAGTATCTGTGGCGAGTGGAAGGCAACGATACACAACAGTGCGTTTGTTTGAGGGCTATGGGAATGGTGGCGCGCACGGCGGAGTGTGTGTATGAGCACTTGAGTGACATGCATACGGTTCATGTTGAAGTAATAGTAAAGCATGGCAGTGTGTGTAGACGAGGGGAGTTTGTAATGTACAATTGGGTGTAAACGGAAACCTATATACAACACAATCGTATTGGCCAGAAAATGCTTCATAAACGACAACGGACAGCAATAGATGGGTGGGTACTTCCTGCAAATGGGAAAGTCTCGGACTGATCATATATATATAGAAGGTGCACTCTGCATACTTATCAACTGAGAACCTTTCCAGTAAACATACAACGATGAAGCGGAAATGACAAAACATTCAGGCAAGGCAAATACAGACGTATACAAACACATCCAAGAACCTTATCGATATGATCTAAAATAGGGTTGAATACACACCCATATGAGCGTGGCTACAACGCAGTTTACCACACAACACAGATGGAGAGGGGCGGTTCTATTTTCGGCTGATACTATTCCCATGGCCCGGGTCACAGGCAGCGTACGCGTTATTGCAACGAACAAACGTTTGCCGGTCGTACAAAGATGTTCACGTCACAACGATATCACATTTGCATCACATGTCAAACGGTTTGTCTAACTAAATACATAGGAAGATGCAGTCAACTGCAAGCAGAGTGCTGTACACACGCGTACACTGCGGTTGCTATAGGCTCCACCAGTCAAGGAATAGGCAGGCATGATGGTAGACAGAAACAACACAGAGATACCACACTGCCAGTTGAAGAGTAGGTAGGTATGACGGTAGACAGAAGACACACAGAGATAACACACTGACAGTTGAAGAGTAGGTAGGCATGACGGTAGACAGAAAACACACAGAGATACCACACTGCTAGTTCAAGAATAGGTAGGCATGACGGCAGACAGGAGACACACATATACACCGAACTGCTGTGATATTATCATGTCATTGCCACACACATTGTCTGACGACAGAATTGGCAGATAAAGCAGCAACCTATGTGTGCTGTAAGTAGCAGACACTTTGATAGACGGAGGTCACAACCACGCACAGACACACAGTGGTCTAAGGGAGATGCCATGCCACAATGGGTTAACCCCAGTACTGACATGACATTAATTCTGAAGACACAAAAAAGGTAGATGGGGCTGACGGAATCAGGTTGCTATTAAGGCGAGGCAGCCGTGTGCACTGTACACTATACACACCTTACTCTCCGACAGACGTAGGATAGGAATACATGCAGAGACTTGGTCGCAGAAGATAATATCGTACGGATGGGTTTCTAGGCCGTCCAGGCCAAATACAAGCAGCATTGCTACATAGCACATGCGCAGGTACGCAAACACGGCATGCAAACGGCCCATGATTTGTCGGGGCATCGCATCGCCCCGTACAGTGACTGGTATAGTTCCTGAATGTGAAAGTGTTTAAACAGATATAGTGATGACTTCAGTGTGTCACAGATTTCGCGTGCGAGTGCAAAAGTGTTGCGTGATGAATCCATGTATGTTCCCAGTAAGCACTGCGAAGAGTCCTAGTGGAATGTATAAATAAGAAAACCACATGATAGTAACATGAAAATACAAACATAACTGTTCAGGCACACATGATGAATTATCTGGAAGAATTATGCACACATGTACTCAAAGTGAAAATATTAATTAAGAAACACAAGTATAAACCAATTCGATTCATTAACATGAATCTGTATGTCTATGGTATACTACTATCACATTTCCCAAAACTATGATAACGATCATGAAGCTATTGATACAATAAAAAAACACAGAAAATAAGCACACACATATATATTTAGATAGATACATATGTGCATACATGTATATATA